GTCTTCTCATTAATTATGAGTGTTAGAAGGAAATACCTTTTTTCATAGCCTGCCACAGCTATGAAACATGTTGGCTACATGAGGGTGCTATCATGGTGACGTCTGCACATTGTTTTTCATGAAGACTCAGACCTTTACTGCCTTTAGCAAGCTACAAATGGAGGTTCCTGAGTCGTTATTCTCACAATGTCTTTTCTTTACTTGCCACTTTGCTATAAAAGGTCAGATTTGTGGAAAGCAAGGCTAATAATAGCTGCTGTCAACAGATTACCCCAGCTGAGCTGTGGATCTATGGAGCTCCTCTAGAATGATCATGGCCTAATGGGTTTCTCTGAATAATGTCTATTTGTGATTTTTATAAGGTGTTCACACCTTGGCATGTTGAAAGCCTATTCTTGCTTCAAACCTCTCCAGAACTTTAATTTAAAAAATAGAGGGAGGCGGGGGGAGAAAACTGATAGAGGTAACAAAATGTGAATGATTTAGAAAATATTTTAAAAACTGTACATAGTTTTTTTTATGTCAATTCACAGTAGTGCTCTACTTTGCATTTTATATACATTAAAAAACTAGAAAGAAGAAGCTTTGTGATTTTAACTTTAAAAATGTTAAGGGGTGTGAGTACTTTAGGCATCACAAAAATAATATGGAAACCGAATAAGAAAAAATCTTGCAAATCTGCTGCAAAAGAATCAATCAGGTTTTCTCTCCAGCAGCAGGGAGCAGCAAGGATTATTCTGTAGCTAGCATTATAGAATGTACATTACAAATATATTTGCAAATATATTTTTGTGAATATTGTTCAATCTAAAACGTCATTTTCTGATGTAGTTGTTATGACTGTTTAACAATTTTGAGAGAGATAAGTTAATCAAACTCATGTGCAACATAATTAAGTGAGCAAGGATTTAACTGGACGGCTACAAATTTAGTTGGAGTTGAGTCAAAAGATCCAAAACAGTCATACTGTGGCCAATGACATAGTTGTCGTTTAGGTAATGCTTTGATCATATGCGCAAAGATGAGACAGATTTTCTTACAGCAATTGTAAAAAGATGTAAACGTTGCAAATTTTTAAGGGAAACTGAATATAAGTGCTCCAGTGAGAAATAAATCCGCAGCAACACACCAGCATCATTTAACTCATCCAGTCCTTTTTTCTGCCCGTCACTCAGAGCCATACAAAGAGCCTGTAGCCAGGATAGGGTCACAAAAAAACCAGCAACAAAACAACAATCCCACAGGGACTGTCGGGGCAGGCTAATCTGGACCTCAGACCAGCCAATGGGTGGTCTTCCTTTCCTTTCCTCTCCCCATTGGGGGTGCGGGGGGGGAAATACGACATGATCGGTGACTGATGCAGGAGGAGCCATAGGTCACCCGAAGCAGCACCAAAGCTCCGCTCCGACATTTTTAATACATACATGCAAATGCTGACCACACACTTTATCAATGACATCTCAACAAGCAGCCATGTGGCTGGGTGAGAAAGCTAATGCATTGCAAAAAGAGAAGTGTTGGTATCTCATCAGCAGAAAGAGTAACGGCGCTACTTTCAGTTCGCGACACTGGAAAAAAAAAACATTAAAAGAGCGGGTGAGGGACTCTTTGATATCTTCATGCAAATGATTCCTTCAGCCATCTTGTCATTCTAAAAGCCCTAAATGAATCACTTTGAAAGTGAGAAAATCGCCCAGTTCGCTTAAGCAACAGCAGTTCTCCAAAGCCCATCTGTCTGCCAGTAACGGTGGCTTTAGGTGACTAAATAAGTAACTGCTGGTCTGTTGGGCAAAGGGGAAGATCCTCTTAAACTGTGCGTATTTGTCTACATACACACAGCGCGCAGTGTAGATTAGGTGCTTTTATTAGCAAAAGGAAACAAAGAACGGGTGAATGGAGATTTGTGTGTGTGTGTGTGTGTGTGTGTGTGTGTGTGTCCGGTTGACAGGGGGATTCCAGACGCAGGAACATTCATCTGGAACCAAAGATCCCATGCTCACATTGCAGTGCTCTGCGAATACACACATACACACATGCACACGCACGCACACACGCACATGGATGCGCACACGCAACCATCTAATTTTTGTGGCTCAATCTGTAAAACCGAGGAAGGAAATGAGTATGTGAATGAGTGTGAAAGCACATTTAAAAGTGCAGTGTGGTGTTTAAGAGTAGTTTTCGGGACTCGCTATCTTGTTACTTCGACCTGATGGTGAATTCCCGGGGAGGTGTTTAACCAGCAGCAAAAAGTGTCCCCGTCTAGTCATAGACAAAGCCAATGAAGACTTAACCCTTTAGTGAAACCACAGGTACAATGATGACTGTGTAACACATATGTAAATTCAATAGTAAACCGTGTGCTCCCCTGAATCTTAGCTGTGAATCATCAAGCGTGGTGACAAATTATAGAAATACTTGACAAAATACATAACTCAATCAAAAAAAAAAGACCTTTGTAATTCAGAGAAATTTTGATTTGCATAATTGACTGGAGTCTTGACTAAAACATAAAAAAAAAAAAAACACTGATTCTGACATTTTGAAAACTTGTCAAATCAGCAAGTTTCATCTTCATAAAATAAGAACTTCAAGTGACATTTTTTTTCTAAATGACACTAAATGCTGATTTAACTGTTAAAAATGCATATACACCCTTGTAGGTTTTTTGTGGAAAAATGGGCCATCCCTCCCTCCCTCCCTCCCTCCCTCCCTCCCTCCCTCCCTCCTCCCTCCCTCCCTCCCTCCTCCTCCCTCCCTCCCTCCCTCCCTCCCTCCTTCCATCCCTCCATCCCTCCATCCCTCCATCCCTCCATCCCTCCATCCATCCATCCATCCATCCATCCATCCATCCATCCCCTTTGTACGGAGACACAGGACACACACACACACACACACACACACACACACACACACACACACACACACACACACACAACACCACACACACACACACACACACCACACACACACACACACACACACACGCCTCCAGGCTATTTCGACACGTCAATTAACCTATCAGAAATGTTTTGGACTGTGGAAGAAAGTTTTCCTCTGTGTTGAAACTGTGGCCACAATTTTTTTTAAAACACCAAACAAAAAGTGAGAAAAGTAACTACTGCAGATATGAATTGTCAGGTTTTCCTTTCATACTCACTTACGTACGATTCCAGCTGCTCAACATTTGACAGAAGGCCTTCTTTCTTGCTATAACGGGGGAAGCACTTTTATTTTCTGGAAGCTTTGGAAGTTTCAGTGTATTGTCCTGACATTATTTATTGGTACCCCAAGGAGCAATGTGCAACTAGCCTTAAAATAAATCAATCTTTTATTGCTATAGCATAATCTTGGTGTAGAGTTAGTCATGTTTTGGACCACTAACCTGTTGAAAGAGCTAATGATGCTTCATTTTCAATTCATCAGCAGTTTCCAGTGGAGTTTGATTTAAAAGCTCCTGTTATACAAAGTTCAGGATCCCATCCACGGTTACAGTTTACAGGGAATTTGTTAAAGAAAAAGGCCCACAGCATCACAGATCTTCCACTATGTTTAACACTGGCTATGACATGCTTTCCTAATAATTTCTTTGTTACTCAACTAGATTGAAAAATCAATCTGGCCTCTTCTTAAATATCCAGTAGAGTTTAACAAACTCACAATAAGAATGATTTCCCCTGGTAACACTCTAAAATAGCCAGTTTATGAGTAGATGGTGTGTAATAGAGAGTTGGTGACCCCAAGATGACCTTTTCTGCAGTCGTTTGAGTTGTCAAGATTTTTTTTATATATATACTTATTTTTAAAAAATATATATTTTTAGGGGTACCAGAAATTTCTGGATAAAGTCCAACACTGTACTTTCCTATATTACTGAGTCAACATGTGAATATGCTATCATAATAAAATATATCTTAGGACTTTTTACAAATCTTTAACAGGGCAGCTATAAATATGTCCAGGACTTTCTATCAACTCAAGTTGACATGGAGTGCCTGACACCTTTTAAAAGAGCAGAGATGACAAAGTGTTTCAATGCACTGGAACAGATGGGAGTGCTAAGAATAAGTGTAAAAACGAACAATTATGGTGTAAGTTCTACACAATAAATTTTATATGTTATATAAAATGCATTGAAGCTTCTCTTTAAAATGTGAGAACTTTAAGGAGTATAAATACTTTTGCAAGACGCTGAATGTAAATTGTTTGACATGTTGAACTAAAAGAGCCTGGATAATCTAGATATGTTCAACTTTGTTGGAAGAGTTGTAGTAAGGTCCAGAAGATTTTTATTGTTTGTTGATGTTACAATTGGTGACACTATTTTTTTTTTCAGGTAAGAATCTTCTGTGGCTGCCCACACTCATCTTCAAAGTCACTTCTCTCTTCCTTCAAAGTTCTTCCAATGACTCTTTTCAGAGTCTCTTTATATATTATCAGGTCATCAGAGCCTGGAGTGCAACAGTTAGGCATCAAAGGGCCGACAGTGGGAAGGGAGGGGTGTTTGTCTCTTCTCGTCTGTCCCATTCCTCTTTGCAACAGCCTCCGAGGGACTGCTGAAGCAGGCCACAAAGGAAGGGAGGGGGGTGCCTCACTCTCACTTTACACAGAGAAACCCGATCATTTGGCAGAGCTCTTATAAGCTGTTCTCTGATGATGCTCTGGAAGTGCCAACCTTAACACATTAGACATTTTCTAATTCACATGTGGAGGTGTCCGAGGGAAAATCAAAAAAAGTTGCCCGAAAGGATCCGCTCTTTGTCAAGTGTACAAGTGAAAGCAAGTATTAAAGTAAATATTTATTATTTTAAAACTTGAGCTCAATTTCATGTTTCCTTTCAATCAAAAAGTGACTGCACAGATTGATAGTCTGGAGGGTAGCAACTTCTATATCCTTGAGCGTTCCTATTTTAAGGTCCTAACCAGAGAAACCACACAGTTGTTAGTCATGGAATGCTTGGTTTGATAACATTTCTGTTCAGACAGCCAAAGAAACCTACCACTGATGTGAGCGCCATCTGGAAGCTGTAGATGCGGGCTAAACCAAAGTCTGCCAGTTTGATCTGACCTGCACTGGTCACCAGAATATTCTGAGGTTTCAGGTCACGGTGAACCACTCGGTGCGAGTGCAGAAAGTCCAGCCCCTGAAGCAGCTGGTACATCATATCCTGCGAGTCAACAAGATGAAAGGAGAAAGTAGACAGGATTATGGCTTTTACAAAGACACTTAAAAAAGGAGGTCATTAAAAACAAAAATACAAAAAAACAAACAAACAAAAAAAGACTCTTGGATAGTTTTTTACTCTGGCTTTCTGTCAGTTTTCTGTGCATGGCAGCCATATTGGATTTAAAGTCATGGTTAGTTGGAAATTAACCTTTTCCACTTGAATTGTTGCATCTTTATCTAAAAGATGAAGTGCCAAAGGCTCCAAATGTTTCCTTTTTTTCGTGACCCGGCAATATGGTGTTACTTAGAAAAGTTAGTATGTACTAGACTGGTAATTATAAGTTTTAGAACCACTATACTAGTCTATGTTTAAGGTTCACAGCACACACCAGATGTTTGGTGTTAGATAATTGTTTACATGTGCAGGTTTGAGTGACTCAGTGTGAGCTGTTCAATTTGAATGCTAGCAACAGGTATCTTCAAAAACCCTCTGAAACAATGTGGTTTCTGCTGTGCAGCAAAGTATTCAACAACAAAACGGCCTGACAGACAACAACCTAACCTGTGAACTTCAAAATAAAAGCTGAGACAGTCTGGGAGTGAGAGAGTTAACGTGAAGAGGCCCGTGTCTTTTCTCATCGACTGTGGCAGATGTTTGATAACTGACACACACACACATACACCAGCGTCAGAAAGAGGCCCCTGCTTTGTGCAAGCACAGATCTCTGTTACTAAGCAGCTGTCCTTCTTTAGTTAATTGGTGCTTGCTTTCTTTATATGCCCAAAACCTGACCTCAAACGGCTGTAGCATAGGCACCACATTTATGGCGAACTTGCCGAGTTAACTGTTGTGAAAACGAATGAACAGTGTCGAAACTAGCTCAGACTTGTCCTTTTGAAACCGAAATACTCTCAAACAGGTCCAGCACCTATAAACAAATAAGTTATTACAGGTAGTTTTGACAAAGCAAAACCAGAGAGTTCAACCGATCTCTTGCTCTCTCACAGTCTCTGTAATCTGCTTTTGTTCAAGAAACACATTCTTGCTACAGATGTACACCCCGTAAACCACCTCAAAGCTCCACATCGAGACCCCACAAGTGACATGGACCTGAGCCCACAACTCTATTCAGTAGCCCACCAGCTGGCGTGTGAGTCAAAGGAAAGGGGTCTGCGCACTCAAGCAAAAATGATCAGCAAATGGTACTGGGCTGGCTGCTGTTTTGGCCACACTACACAACTCTGGATGTGATGATTGTCGTGCTGCTGTACACAAACAAACAGAAAAATGCGATATCTGTTATCGTATGTGTGTTTTTGTGGGGAGAAAAGGGATCACTGGTCTGTGCGCTAGCATGTGCGTATGTATGACCAAGGACAGGATGCAAAAACAGACCTTCCTTTCTGCATCTCCATCCAGCCATGACCCACAGAGAAGGCCAACAGACAGACAGGGCCATAGGACGGAGGCAGGCAGTTGGTCACTTTGCATGCATGTGTGTTTGGGTGTGTGTGTGTGTGTATTATTGGGGGCTGACACAATAGCATTCCCCCACCCATCAGTTCCTCTCTCCTTTAAATAGTCATTTTACCGTGCTTCCTTTCAACAGCATTTCCTCGTAAACACTAATTATCTCATGAGTGTGACTCTTAAATGTTAACAATCCAAGTTTTCCTGCCCTTCTTTAAAGAATCACTTACAGTGCCTTGTATAAGTGTTTCTATCCTTTCCGCTTTTCCACATTATCCCATTACAACCACAAACTTCTCTGCCTTTTTTATTTTTTTTTTGCATATTTTGGTATTGCGATAGACAAACAAAGTTGTGCATTATGAACTGCAACAATGACCCTAGTCAAATGTCTTCTGGCCTCCCAGAAATTTTCTCCCAGGATTTCTCCTTCCATCTTCCTGTGACCGGCCTCCCTGTCCCTGCAGAAGAACCCCCACATAATGATGATGACCCCACCATGTTTTACAGTGGGGATGGTGTGTTCACAATGAGACGAAGTGTTAATTTGCAATCATGCATAGCAATCATAAATCTGTTTGTCTGTGTTCGCTACATGGCTTGTGCTAAACTCCAAATGGCCTTCTTTGACCCGCTTTCTTTTGGACAATCTTCCACTAAGGACAGATCTGTGAATTGCACAACTATTATGCAGATTCTTTCACCTGAGATAAGAATTTCTGTGGCTGCCTCTAAATTATCACGTAACTTTTGACTGTTTCTCTACACAATGTTTTTCTGTCAAGTTTTAGATGGACGACCAAGTAATGGTACATTTGGGGTCTTGTGAGATGTTAAAACCTTTTAAAAAGTTTTAGAGTTTGGTTTACTTTAGACGTTTTCACAGCTTTCTCCCCTAGCCAGTCTAGTGTGTTCCTTTGTCATCATGATGATGGTTGTTCATTTATGTCCTCTAAAAAACCTTTGATGCCATCAGACCTGTAGTTGTACTCATATTAAAATGTACAGGAGTGGACTGAATTTACTAATTAGGTGACCTTAAAAGACAGCTGGTTGCATTTTTAATAGGTATCAGAACAGAAAGCATTGAGCACAAATTAATTCAACGCTTCACAGATTTTCATTGTAAGCATTTTGTCTACTTTGTGTAGTCTGTCATGTAAAATCCCAACAAAACATAATGAAGCTGTCATTGTGTAATATTGATTACCTACTATGTTATTGATATTATATCTAACAGCATGGTGAAAGGTAGAACAATATTTGCTTCATCTGATGTGGATTTGTGTTTAAGATCTTAAACATCACGAATGGGAAATAAAAAATAGGAACATCATTAGACTCTGAATAAATAAAAAGAGGAACAGCATTTAAAAAAAATAAAAATAATGATAATAATAATAATAAAAAGTCAGCTCACTGCAAGAATCAGTCAAAACATGGCTTTTGGAGGTCCCCTCCTTTTCTGATGCAAATGTACCAGAGGCAGCCATATTGTTTATTGTAGTTTGGCACAATATAGGACATCTGCCGGTTAACGTTAGTGTAATTCCCTGCCCATGCTTCATTAACCTCCCCCATCTCTGGCCCACAGAGTGTGGAAGCTTGGATGATGGTAGCCGAGGAGGGTGGGTGAGACCCAAGCGCCGGCCCGGCTGAGGAGAGCCGAGCATGGGGCAACCCGGCTGCTTGATGTCCTTCCAGCTCATTTGATTCCTGGAGGAGGGCCTCTTTCATCAATGACCATGTGGTGGGTCTTGAGTCTGAGTGGGTGGTGGAGGATGGGGATGCTGAAGTGGACAAACTGGGCCGATGTGGGGGTGTCTCTTGTGGAGGATGGATGGATAGATGGTTTTGAGGAAAAGTGTGGCTGTTCTTTTTAGTTTCGGGCTTTTGGCTCAACAAGTTTCTGGAGTGAAAACATGTGCACATATTCAACACTGAAACTCAAATAGGGACTAATAGGATGGCCGGGTCAACAATATGTTGTCAGATGGTACAGCCAAGTGCAACTAAAGTTGTTTGGGAGGGGTTAGAGGGTAATGGGGTCATGTTCAGGTCAGTATGCAGTGTCCACTCTCCTAGAAATAACAGGACTGTGTCTATGATGTGCCGACACTTCTTGTCCTTTTGTCTTCTTAAGAGTCCAGATAAACAGATGCTGGGAGAAAGCACAAGGAGGTGGGTGCCTAATGAATCTTCATGCTGCAAAGGCAAGTTGTCTGATCGTTCCTTGGTGCTTAAAAATCTTCCTTGAACTTCTCCCAAACTGAAATAGTATGAATGCATGACTTTTTTACAAAATGGAAAACTACAGTGTGTCATGCAGCTTGGGACTGCAATGATAGGGTTAAGAAAAAAGGCAGGATTGAATCTTTTTTTATTTCCCTTCCTTCCTTGTGCCATCTTCCTTCCCTTTTTGTGTTGATTGTATTGTGAAGATTAGATTTTGGTCTTAAAGCAGAACAGTCAACTTTTGTCCAACTCCCTTAAAAACAGGATGTCCAGAGGTGTTTCACCCTTTTTACCACTGATTTGACTATGACAGAACAACTGTAAGCCCTTCAGTGTACAGTAAAAATTTTGCTACTGCATAGATCATTAAGTGTCAAAAATAACTGTAGATAAAACTAACATTGTTTTTGGACACAAGATTGTTGTGCCTTGTGGATCCAGAAATCCCCAAGTGGTTCAATAAGTTGCTTCAGGCATAAAACTACATTCAAGAAGCAACTTAGTGTGCTTGCATGGTCATACACAGAGCAACCATACAGACCTAAACCAATCCTTTCTAAATGAGTGCTGTTGTAACATCTCAGGACGGGGTACATGTTTGTTGCTAATTTCAGCTTCACAGTATGAGTTATCGTTCCTGAGGAGAGCATTGATCTGATGACTGTGTCTTCAAAGGTCCATTTCTGCTTTATTGCGCTTTAATGCAAAAGTTATACAGTAAGGGAAGGCAAGTTTAAAACGTCCACGTTGTTCAAGTTGAACCACATATTTTACTGGCATATATCGATGAATGTTAGTTCATAATTGGAACAAACAAATTTCTTTACACAGTTTTCACATTTTTGCAGAAAGCCTTCGCTGCAGAAAATGTCCTCAGCATCATGCTGACACCGTCTCGTTTCACCATAGTAATCATATGTTCAAGGTGATGTGCAAAGTTAATTTTCTACGCAAGCAAATTGTGTTTTGCAGGTAGTCATATATCTCCTACATGGCTTATTAAAAAATGAAAAAGGGAGTACTTCCATGTTGTGTTTATTTTAGACTATGATAGTCTTCCTATACTTTTTATATCACTGCAAGATTTCTGGGATTCATGATTGACATTTGTTCTGTGAACGGACTCTCATAGGAGTTGTGGACCCCAGGTTTTCAATTGCGCCATATTCTTTCCTGCTTCAATTGATTGACTGAACAGTGCTTATGAAGAGCTTAGAAATTTTTAATAACGTTGTATAACTTAACCTTGCTGTAAACATCTCCACATCTTCATCCCAGAGCTGCCTGGTGTGATCCTTCGTCTTTGTTATGCTATTTGTTCAGTAATGTTTTCAACAAATTTATAAGGCCCCCACTGAACAGTGGTATTTATATTGAGGCCAAGTTACACAGAGGGCCATTGTGATCACAAAAATCAACAATAAACTAATACATTCAAAGAGACTTCGCATCAACAATTGGGATCAAATTTGGTTTAAGCCTCTGGCGTAAGCCAGCTGAATCATCTGCACTTAAACAACATTTCTCCCTGACAGAAAACGTTCACACATAAACCTGGCCCTCAGGTGACAATCGGCGGTTGCTGTGCTGCTAGAACGTCTCCAATTTAAATTTGACACTCCGCACTTCCCAGGCCTCTTCATTCAAACATAAATAATATTAATTTCCAATATTGTTTGGGGCACATCTGCAGACCTCAGGGGGAGAAACCTGATAAACAAATGTTTAAAAGGGAGGAAGGGGATTTTTGTCAGAGAGGCCTAAATAAAAGAAGACAGTAATTGAGAAAACAAGATGGAGGCGAACTCACTTCCGACCTTTCAGCAACTTGTAAGTGGAAACCTCTTAAATGCGTTTTTTTTTTTTTTTTGACAAAAGAGCAAAGATTTCCTTTTAGGTTTAATAAAACTGTTGACAAAAACATGATTCTGACTGATCTACTTGGTAATCAGTACAAAAGTAACTGTCTTTTAATTGTTCTGTCTCCATCTGTAAGAAAGTTGGCGGGCAGAGTCAAAATAGAGACTGAAGGGAGCCTCTAATTTGGAGTCCATCTGCCGCATGTGCTAGCCTTCCAAACGCGATGGTTCTTCTGATGTTAGAGGAAGTCATTCATGTCTGCTATGACTTTGGTCAAGAAAAATTCTCAGAACCAAAGAGACATAGCTGTGTTCAACCAGAGCTGCAGCCACAGGGGATTAGCCCAAAGCTGCTTTTATACTTCAAACGGAAACAGCGTAGTACTTTAAATTGGGTATCAGCATAACTGTACATCTTCGCTGATGTTCAAACAGGTGTAGCCCAAATGTTACAAGGTTCTAACAGACGGTGGTTTACCTTAATGGTCTCAGGTGGAACGCCGGGGTCAGGAGCCTTCTCCAGGTATGTGGTTAGATCTTGATCCACATGCTCAAACACCAGCGTGAGCTTGGTTTCTCTGTCAGTCCGAGAGACCGTGCAGACATCAAACAACCTACACCAAGAGAATAAGGGGATAATAATCACTGACCGTCACTGCCATAAGGTTTCTACGTTTTTTAACACAACATTTTCACCATGAAAGTGAGATCACTGTGAAACCACATATTTAAATATTTTGTAGAACGCAATCTTTTTTTCTTAACTATACAAAAATAAGTCAATCTTTACCTGTTTTTGGCCAATTAGGATTATTAAAGTAAGTTCTATTTTTCAAAAATTCAAATATATAAACTCGTACTTATTAACACCAACTCAGGTGTTAATTAGAGTGGAGGCAGCATATGTTATAAGTGTTTTGCTGGAGGAGGGAATAGTACTTTTAGCCACATACAGGACATCATTAGGAAATAATCTTGTGTTGAAATGTGTTCACATTAAAATATTAGCACAGTAATCAGTATTTCATCATCAAACATACAAAGATCAAAGACTGAAAGGAAGATGGATGGACAAGAACAGACAGCTAAACCGATAAACAAATAGAGAGATACTGACAGGCTTTGTTCAACTATTAATCATTAAAGTATCCCTCAGATTAAATATTAGTCTTGTTATTCATTTAGAAAAAATCTATCTTAAAAATTTATCCTCCTAATCAAAGAACAATCTTATTGAATAAATGAAAAAATAAAGAGATTTTGGTACATCTCTCAAGTTAATTACATGTATTAAATGATTATGTTTATTATTATTCCCACTAAGTTCTTATTTCCCAGTTACTAAAAAAAAAAAAAAAGATATCACGTAAAGATTTATGATTGGGAGTGAACACTGAGATTATAAGGTTTCTGATTTTTCTCTGGAGTTTGCATTTAAGATTAACGGAATTAAAAAAAAAGTACTCCAGCCAATCAAGGACTATATGAGTCACATATTTGCAATAAAGTTATAGAAAACATTATAAGATGTTATGGCTTATGCTTTATGTAAAGAAATCAGCCTGGAAGTGGAAGGGATATGCAATCTAAGTTCTAAAGTCAGGAATCGAAAATATGAGATTAATGAGACAGTAGTATCTCACTGCAATAATAAACTCACTGGAATTTTGTATGTAATGGAGCTAATCCAAGAGTTCAAAGTGGTGGTCATGTGACTGGACAAAACAGTAACCGATTGGTCGACAGTAACCTTTTAAAAGATCTGTCTGACTCTTGACTTTCTGTTGTATATTTCACTGATTCTGATGATGATGCAGTGATTTTGCAAACATATTAACTGTCCAACCTTACAGATCGGTGTTAGAGGCTGGACATGTTTTTACTACACATCCAGCCTAAGCCAAGAATCCCGATTATGTCGGCAGACCTGCCAAAGCCAGCTTTGATGAGAAGCTGAGAAAAAAAAAAGCTACCCAGTATGTTCAACTCAAAGGGTTGGGGACTATAAACAGCATTCCTCACCCAGCGCTATGACAACTCCTCAAACTCTGAGTAGTCTAGAAAAGCATGTCTGTAGCTACAGCAGAACTGGGAACTTGCACCACAACAATACGGAGGATGTAAAACTGAATGATGGATTCATATCTGACATCTTGTAGCTTATAGTTTCACTAAACATCGATAAAGTCATCTTTCTTGTCTGCACAACAGCATTGAAAGTACTTCTGCATTGACTATACGTATTCTCTTTCCACCCATACATCCACGACTTGTTGCTTCTCAGTTGATCTGTTTTCTCTTTCAGATGAAGTCACCAACAAAGCAACTGAAAAAAGAACTTTTTCTTTAAGGTGGGAAATACTGTTAGGTCAGTGTATCCATCTTTTTAATGTCTGATCTGTCTTTTAAAATCCCCATTCAGTCCCAGCAGATGTCTGCTCACACTGAGATGAGTTTTGCTGGAGGTTTCATCATTTTAAGAGAGCGACATTCCTTTTCACTGTCACCACATGCTTAACCTGGAGAGCGAGAGGCTGCAAAGGCAGAGACTAAGATAACTTTTTACCAGCTGGGATAAAGTAGATCTAGCTGCAGTGCATTGTGACGGGATCAAATGCATGCAGCTGAAGATAAATTTAGGTTGCATATGACCAGACTGCACTGATCTGACACAGTGATGCACAAATAAATGTAATTGTTACTAATTTGAAATCATTTTGAGTTGGGTCATAGTAAACAGCTCATAGTATTGTTAGTATTGTTTGATTCCCCAAAATCAGAATAAGCAAGTCAGAGCTTAAAGTGAACCAGAAATTGGTATAAGTTGATAAAAGCAACTCTTTATCTAATATAAACTACCATTTGAATTTATTAGATGCATTTGCGACATCTCACAACAGTGTATTAAATTATATTTGTTTTTCAATCTGACTGGGTAACTAAACGGAACTATGACACAAAATTCTTTATCATATAACGAGGCAACATATGGGTCCCATAGTCAGAGCATCGGGATCAATGGAGTCCAGAAAAAGATGTGATTTGTTCAAGGTATTAGTGCTGAATGTGATGTCATTCTGGAAGGCAAACTCCTTCTGTAGCGCTGGGGTTAAACGCCCCTCACAGCTTGGTTGTTGGAATACAATGGAAGCTCTCAGCAGACTCTGAACATATGGAATAAATAATGGACCTCATTACAAACATCCAGGGTTTGCCTGGACTCCCACACATGCCCCACAATGCATTTTTCCAGTCCTGAAGTACAGGACAATCTTGACAGGTTAGGGCACGAGAACTTCTGAGAAGCCTTTAAAAATCTTTCGTAGGTATACAAAATGTTCAATGTATAATTGAGCATGCAAACGGAGAAACATGCTGTTGCTTAATCTGACTGATTTATTGCAAATACGTCGCTTGGTGTGTCTGTTGACCTAATAGGACAAAAGCCTCCATGGTATTAGTAAAATAAAAGCCTACAATTATCCTCCAATGTTTACGGATACATTCGAGATTTACTGTTGGAGGCACAAGGCCACCAGCCATGCCTCTGAAACATTCATTTAGAACTTCCTCTCCAATCCCACGGCACTTAATATTCCACAATAAAACAAGCACAAGGTCAGACCTTGGCCTGTGCCAATGTGTGACGCAGTATCTGACTACTGCCATGAGAACGAATAAGACTGAAAGCAAATGACATCTGTTTGGAGAACAGACAAAAACTAAGCCATCAATTGCTGTTATGCTGCTCCAATAATCATATCTATTTCAATTAGAGTCGGGTTTGTAGAGTCAAAGCTCAGGTCCTTTATTTCCTACTGCTACTTTTTCAAGGAAATATCACAAAAGTAACATGAATGCAGTCTGTATGCAGAAAGAAGTCAGTTTTAGTGACGCAAACTGTGGAGATTTGCAACGATCAGTTAAACAACAATATTTTTGCAGCTTTGCCAATTACATTCCTTCTTTTATATCCGTGCATTGGCAGTTCACCTCTTCGAGCTTCCCTTCTATTTATGCAAATAAACAAAGTTGTATCCATGTGAATAACTATTGTACCACAGGTTACTTTGTTGTTTAGTATTTTGTACAAATTACTGGGATCTGGGGAGTTATATAGAATTTTGCAACTGTTGGCATCTTTCCAGTTTGTTGGCTTTACATTTAGAATGCACTAAATGTAATGTAATGGCTTTACGATGTATTTGCAGAGCCTTAAGGGTTTTTTCCAAATGAGAAAACCTGAAAAGCATAGTAGAGGTTTTTCAGTGGCAACATGCAGGTGTTTGAGGCGTGTGCCAACAAACAGGTCTTCAAAACTAGTTTAGATGCAAATGGGGTTCAAACAGCCAATTTACAAAGGTGTGAAATGGAAACTTGAGACCAGCACTGCATACGACATGGAAATTTGCCCCTTGAATAGAAAACATCCAGTCTTCAGCTGATGTCAAGTCACACAGTCAGTATTTGGAAAATAGACTGACTGTCAAGTGAAAAAAGTATGTTCTATTCAGAGTAGACCTTTCAGAACAGTTGCAGGCTAGAAGCCACATCATAGTGTAAGGTTTACTCTGATACCCCGATTGCCTTCAAAAGTCACATAATCAGTAAAATAGAGTCTACTTACAGAATGCTTAATCTTATCTGAAGACAATTGCAACAGGTTGAGCCTTCACACAACGTTCTATCTGTCATATGAAGTTAGAACGTGAGGTTGGCAGCATCATACTGTGTAGACACTTTTCTTTAACAGTGACTGGCAGAAAAGAGGAGAAAAGTTCAAAAACAACATCTGTAAAGACTTGAAACTGGGCTGCAGGTTCACCTTCCATTAGGTCAGCAACCCTAAACATAAACCCAGGGCAGAGGTCACACTGGACTTTTTTTCACTGTCATTTTGATTGACGGGGTCAAAAAAATCCTGTCATAACCTATTTTTTTAACTTATTAATTTGTTATAATAATGACATATTCAATAGCAATTAGTTTTCATCCAGTTTAATGCTCAACCCGAACACGCTGAAAAGAGAATCCACGTCACGTCATCCCACATCAAGAAGACGAATGCAGAAAATGTTTTCTCCACAGTGACAAAAAACCCCCAAAACATTTACTGTCGTTCCAGTAACTATAAACAATCAAATTAAGTTATTGTACTCAAAATATGGACAGTTGACATGCTGTGGCCTAAGCACACAGTCTTACAATGTCCTCCTGGTCTGCATTGACCTGAATTGTGCATCAACTTGTGCATATAATCAAATGTCTCAAAGAGGATTTCTGCAGAGACAACGCTCATAAGGTCTTGGACTTTTGCCTTGAACAGACGACGTCTCGTTTTGATGTTCTACAGGCTGAATCTTCGCTCTGCTCACACACCTGAGACTGGAATTACAAGCAACACTTCAAAGTTTTAAAATCAGGGAACATTTCTTCAACTGAAGTGATCAGAAGGCGACAAGACCCTCTGAACGAGCAGTTCCTTGATCCCCCAAGAACTTGCTCCTTCTGCATCGGTCTGTGAACTGTAGTGGTCACAGACTCACTCCGAAGCCTCAAGCTAGACGTATTGAGTGTGGTGTCCAGGACAGAGATGAGGCTCTCATGAGGATCTGTTTTGATTGCTTTGGTTACCTAAACTCTGCGCATACAGTTAAAAACGTGTTCCTTGTCTGTACCAAGTGGTCAGGGGTGTGAATTGTAATCTGTCAAAAATGACAGATGGCCATCAGAGTTTTTTTTTTTTGTCATGGCTTAAACCCCTCCCCCCAAAAAAATAACAGTTAAAGATGGAAAACATTTGGTTAATGAGACCCCTGTACCAAACATGTTCACGTCTTTGAGTGATTCGAAGTCAAACCCCGAATATGTGGCAAGACTTGCAAACCCATATTATCGTCTTCATGAGTGTCTTAGTAAAGAAGATTAGCCAATAGTTTTACAATATATGAAAAAAGCTGGTAGAAACCTACTGCAAATGCATGCCACACTTTTCAGATTTGCATTCACAAAATGCTTAGAGAATCACGTATTGTTTTCCTTTCACTTCTGGATAATGTGTGGCTGTGATTTGATTTCTCACATACAATTCTTCCAAAGGTATCAATAGTATAACACAATAGTGTTTGTGTTAAAAAATGGCATGAATGCATCTGAACAGTGACGCACATGTACCTTGCTGTTTAACTGGCTGTTGTTGTTTTTTTTGCATAGAAAAACTGACAAAGTTGGACTTCTCCTTCGTAACATTCAGTGCAGACATCCCACAAAGGTCATATGAGACCATCAAAAAGGAAGTAGCGTTCGTCTAGTGTTCACATGCAAACTTTCCTCCCCCTCAAATCCCCAAACCCCGGACCCCTATTAAAGCAACATGCAAACACACACACACACACACACACACACACACACACACACACACACACACACACACACACACACACACACACACACACACACACATAAACAGATAGACCAGTACCCACCTCCCCACTCACTCACCTGACAACATTGGGGTGCTCAAAGGCCTCCAACTGCCTCAGTACCGCCACCTCCCGGATGGTTGAAAGAGGCATGCCCTCTTCCTCCGTCTGGACACGAACTCTTTTTAGGGCTACAAAGCGTCCCCCGTTCTTCAAATCCCTCGCCTTGTACACTTTCCCGTATGCACCCTCTCCAATCTCGGCCACAGGCTCGTATTGCGTACCGACACTTTCTTTGTCCATTTTTGCTGGGTTTTTGTTTGTTTTGGGGTTGTTGTTTTTTTTGTTGATGTTCTTTTTTCTCTCTTTCCTCCCTTCTCTCTTGTTGAAAATGTTACGGGGAATCCCGGCGAGGGTGACGAGCTTTCTTCACAAAGGCATACTCACAGAATATAGTTGGCACATGCAATGCCTAGACGACAGAGACACACAGATGGAGGAAGAGACCATCTCTGTCACATTTGGTGAAATCAAGCTCTAGGTGGGCTTTAACAGGACTGTCATCATGTTTTTATTCGGACTATCGGGGGGGAGAAAAAAAAAACCGACCCTCCGCTGCGTTTCCCAGCTTCCACTCCTCCTCCTCCTGTTACGCATTACAACTCCTGTCCTCCTACTAACAGAAAATAATAATAATAACAATAAAAATAATACAAATCTAAGTAAGACACCTTTAGCTCACACACCGAGGCAGTTTTCTTTTTCTTTTGCGTTAAATAAACCGTCTCGAGCACTTTTTCTTTATCAATTAACGCCCGCGTGCGGAGTTGCAGAACTTCTGTTCACGTGCGTGTTCACTTGCCGTCCCAAAAAATTAAATAAAATAAAATAATCCACAACATTCAAAAACATGGAAAACGCAGGAAAAGACACCGAACACGGGAACGTCTAGCTCTGAAAAACGGACACGGACGCGACTGTCCAATGTCCGTCCGTGAAAGTTTCTGTTTTGAGGAGAAGCCAAACTGTGAGCACGTGCTGCATTGTTTTAACTTCCTACAGCAATAGTCCATTTAAAACGCACCAAAAACTCGCTTTTGCGGCCTCGAACCGCTTTAAATGCGTGAAACAGTGTGTCTGCTGAGTTTTGATCACATTTCCATGAGCTTTCCTTGCTCCCTCGAATTTTTTCTAATTTATCTGTGCGCGCACCCTGATATGAGCCTAATAAAATGGCCCGAATTATAACAGATTTGTAAACATGCATGTAAACTTTGGGACGTTATTGTTAGTGAAGTGTTTTGGTTTTTAGCATCAGACAGCCGTTCATTGAAGAAATCCTGCAGAAATATCAGCGACTATTATTCTTATTATTATTATGACTTTTTTTTTTTTTTTTTTTTTACCTTATTTATGGCAGTCAGTAAAATGTGGTGACGTCGGCATGCCCAGTGAAATGCTGAGGAGGCATTCGGGTCTCGCATAAAACTGCTCCATCAAACGCATCCCTGTCCACTTTCCTCCATGCGGGGGCCACACAGGTAGTTGACGTCGCTGGCTCTAACCCCCCATTCCTCAGACTGCACCAGCCCCGGCAGAGGACTCTCAAACAAGCGAGGGGAGGGTTGGACGAAAAAAAAAAAAAAAAAAACTTGCGCATAGACACTCTTTGCAGCTTGAGTGGAAGGAGGTGTGGAAGGGAAAAGGGGTGTGTAGGATTGCTTGGTGGGTGTTTGGTGAACGTGGTGGTGGTGATGGTGTGTGGGGGGCGAGGGATGGGGGTCACAGGACAAAGGCAAACGCGTGATGTAGCCCTCCAAAAACCACGCTCCTCTCTTGCTTCTTTTCTTGTCTTGCGCATATCCGCGGATGGGCCCATGCAGCCGCGGCCCCGCACGCCCGTGTGAGCTACGTCTTTGGCTGGCTTTCCCACGCCGGCTGAATGTGGCCTGACCCCCTTCAGAGAGGTTTGACACGGAGCGGGGACATTTCCGCATTCCTCCGCGACTACAAAGGCACACCGCCTCCTTTTTGCTCGCCCTCGGCCTCCTCAGTGCTTTGCCATTCACAGTGGCCCCCTTCCCTGGGTTTTGTCCCCCCCGTGTCAAAACCGGGAGCACCGCAGGGAGCAGAGGGTGGGGAGGGGGCAGAGGAGGAGGTGTATTGGAACCACCGGCCACACTATCTATCTGCCTCAAAGCGCTGATGAACTTTTTTTTTTTTTTTTTAATTTTTTTATGATTATTATTCAAGGCGCCTGCGGGAATGCAATGTGACAAGCTCGCCCTAAGATGGTCCTGTGGGGGGTCAGGTTCAAGGCCCGGTAGTTTGATCTGTGGCGGGGGGAGGGGGGGGGGTCGTGATGCATGACTCCTGATAAAACAAAATGTTAGAGTTCAACCAGTGAATCAGTGAAACCGTTTATTTAAAATTCGTGAGGAAAAATGCATGTAAATTTATAAATTAAGATTGTTCAGTAAATAAGTTCCACTCAGTTTTTAAGATGTGAACACTGGGGAACGTTTCGTAATTATTATTATTATTATTATTATTATTATTATTATTATTATTATTATTATTATTATTAGTGTTGTTCTCTTGACATTATTTTAATGACATTATTTTCTGGACAAAGTATGCCTCCATTTATAATTAATTAATTAATTAATTTGTTGTTCAATTTTGCTCTCAGTTCATACGCATAAGATTATTTTTGTGTTGCTGTTGCAAAATTATCAACAGAGCTCAATTTCTAAACAAAATAATTTCATCAGTAAGATGAATGAAATTTTTTTTTTACATGCAGGTTATAAAGTGAGGCAGGAGGAAGCTTATTTTGGAATATATTCCATTTGACTTTCGTTCTCTTTGGATGTTTATGGAAGCCCTTCTTGGACGCTGCTGGAGAAAACATGTCCGCCATCTTACCTCGAGCATTTATTAACTCTTAAACTTGGACTTTAAAATGATGAAAATGTATGAGCCCCCTTACTTTCTTTGTCTTTTCTCTCCTCTAGACTGAGCTTTTGTTTTGTGCTGTGTTTTGTTCTTAAAAATGAAAATTAATAAACATATGTAAAAGAGAAAAAAAAAAACCAAAGCAGTCACAGTATTTTAAAAGCTGGAATTTCTCTGTAAGAAAAAACAAAAAGAAAAAAAAATTTGAACCATCTTTTAATTTTCAGTTTTGTAATTTTATATTTTTTTATTTTGTAATTATCCCATAAATTATCTCCCAACAATTGAGAAAAAAAATTGCTTAATATGAAAGATAACCAGACATTGTCCAAACTCATTAAACAACTGAACACATCCAGTCAGTTTAACTGTGTAATATCATTTATTGGAAAAAAAAAATAAAATAAATAACCGAACAATTAATTATTGTAACTAATAACTTAAACTTTTTCACCAAACCATCATGTTGCTAAACGTAGAGAGTAAACAATAAAATATGGTTCTCTAGGGCAGAACACAGCCAAATACCATCACTGTAAACCCAGCAGCTTCAAACTGGCATATGTAATAATTAAGTGTTGCTATTTACAAATACTTTGTCTTTAATCATCTGCCTTAAAATAAATAAAAAGTTACCCATTCAGATTTGATCAATGCCAAATATACCTTGTCATAAATACAATAACTTACATGCAGAGAGTCTGGTTTGAAGGATTAAAGGATCCAAAAAAATTACAATCAATTGCTTTTCTTGGTCCTCCTTCACAGGAGATTCATGACCACTTTTACAGTCATCGGGTTTGCCTTCTAAAAAGAAAGAAACCAAAAATAGATCTGGTTTTGATTATGACACAAATGTTACAGAAACCTGCTAAATGTTGTGTAACAAAAACCTTTTCCTTGATGACAACAGCTAAGAAGTCCTGTTCATTGGTGACCATATTTTCAGGTTTGACTATAGTTAAAGGGAGATGTAAATTTAAAGTCTTGCTCCAGTACAGGAACTTTCTGAACTTTTAGTGACTTAATGAATTCAATTAAAATAGAGCTCACATAGAGACCAAAAGCTCACCTGTCCTTGCTGAACCCCATGCATGACAAATGATCGCAGTTGACATCTTCATTTAAATTCTAACCAGAATGTTATGGGATTTATGAGGAATAAGCGAGAAAGCTAAATTTAAATAGAAATAAATTGAATAGCTAATATTTAAAATATTTTTTACAGTGTTTGTCCCTCCATAAGCATAGCCTATCAGGCAAACATACAGAAAGGAGGGGAAAAAAATACTGTTTTCATTTCAACATTTATCGACAATAAAGAGTGTTCATCTTTACTCTAAGGCTCAACGTCTAATTATGCTAGTAAATCGATCATCATCTTATCGCTATCGCTAATTTATCCTTTTTTTCTAGTTTATAATAATTTTGTATGAGTTTGAGCAACTGACACTGACTCAATTTAACAATTTTAAAAAGTGTTCTTAAATCATATGTCTTGCTTCTGTGTTAAATAAAATCAGCTGAGTCATTATGATATACTATATTTGATGGTTATTCAAAAATATTTTCATTGAATCATTTGTTACCAACAAAAATACGTCCACATAGAAAAAAAAAAAATCTAAAAAACACAAATAAATGTTATCAGCTACGTAGTAGGAAGCAAATTTTTATATAGACTATTTGTTTATCTTGAATATTTTAAGGAGGTTGTAATAATCATTCTCTTTAATTTTAGTTGATATTGTAGTAGTTTTAGAAAATGTCCTTGTGAAAAATAATAAAATATGAGGTAATGGTATTTTTAAAAATATTAATTAATAGGGCATTTTAATTGTATTTTTATCACTTAGGTAAAGACTCAATTTGATATGATTATGATATAATTTTTTTGTTTTATACAATTTAAAGTTGTCTGGGAAGTTCTTGACAAACTTTTTACTCTCTCTCTTTCTGGACACGGTTTAGACGTGACAAGGCTTGATGTCGGATTATCCCAATAAAAGGCCAATTACAGGCGTGTAACCAAGCCCCATTATTGTAGCTTCATTGGAAGGCATGCATTAGAGAAGCACAGCAGATCAGAAGAATGTTGTTTCCCTGCCCCAACACTGCGGTTTTCATACAAACTCCTCTTTTATGTCGTTTGCAGAGTCCGCTTATTTCTACCGAACATGTAAAACAAAGAGGATAATGACGTGGAAGTCTTTGCGGCAAACTCTCATGCCCAACTTTTTTTGGGCTACCTTCCCCCCCACCCAAAATTTAAAAAATTTCCATCACAAAAGACTAAATATAGACAATACCATGGGGACCAATTACTGTAAAATGGGGCATTTACATTTTTTCGTTATTATTGTTCATGTGAAATCAGCTCTGAAAGCCATCACTCAGACTGCATATATTACCAAGCATACATCTGATCTGGCAGGAGAACAAACCAATTAGATGTGTGGAGCAGCAGCGAGAGACCTCAGACATTTACATTGTAGAAGAGAGTGAAACTGTTTTGCATAAACCCTCACAGCAGTGATCACTTGTTCAGTAACTGGTTTTCCCATGTTTACCTTGATGGGACTCATGTAGGGATTTTTTTTTTTCTCTTGAAAATATGCAGGAACAGGGTGGTCCAAATTGAGAACATCCTGCACTGGGAATTGCATAGTTAGAATATAACTTTATGTGCAGTCTTGCAAATTTCTTGAAGTGCAAAGTAGTTTCCTGTCCATTCATTTCCCACAAACAGTACACAAACGTTGCATCAAAGTAAGAGTCATACCACTTCAGCATATTTTACTCAAGCAAAAGTAAAATATAACCATCTAAGTAATTACTCAAGTAAGCGTAAAACAGCATTCTGCAGAAAGGGTACTCAAGTACAAAATAGCTGATTAATAACTAATCATAACATCTGATTGAATATTTTAAAATGTTGTAATTATTCAGACAATAAATTGTTTTTTGCAATTTATATTAGTTTGAAGACTAAAATGAGAAACAAAAGTAAAATAAACAACATCATCACAAACTAACACTTTCAAAAAAAAAAAACACTTTTCCCCCAGACATTTTACTCTGGTCAGAGCAGCAATACCTCACAATAACATTACTCAAGTAAAAAGTAAAAGCATTATGTAGTAAAGTACTTCTAAAAAATCCACCTCTGAAGAGAACACAGTCATTTTTTGCTTCATCATAGCCTTATATTCTCTATTCAGAGATTTGGGAAGATCTATTAACATAATTCTGTCATCATGATCTGAGCATGGTGAGAACATTAAAGCCAGTTAATCTGGATTTTAAAGCAGGAGTCGTTGCTCAAAGATGGCCTCTTAAAGCATGTTGGGTTTTTTCATCTTTAACACCTGCATAGGGGGAAAGAAAACAAGGGGATAAGTAACTAAAAGCTCCAGTTAGTTCTATGTAGCTATAGTTCT